GGACTTTCTGAAGCTTCTCCACAAGGAAAAGTGGTCGGATGAGGAATGGATGGAGCTGTGGATAAGTGTGGAGTGTGCTGCCTTGGCACTATTCTGGTCTGGTGGGTAAAACTGCATTTAATGATGCCTCTTTGTTCATGCTTATCTTAGTAGGAACTGTTTTTATCTAAAAAATGAATTGTCTTGATGTGTATTTCATTACTCTCTTTTTTCTTCTTAGTTTAATTTTTTTTTACCCTTCTTTGAGCTCAGGATAGAATAAGTTTAGGGTAAACTCTAGGGTACTTGAGATATTCCCTCGAAACTTGAATAGATGGATAAAAATTCAGCCTAATGTATTCTTAGTTAATTTTAGTGTGTTCTTAATTCTAAAGTATTCAAGTCAATAATTAAAAAAAGACGAATAAAAGCAGTCAGCTGTGCTTTTGGATAACAGTCTCTCCATCTCTAAGGGATAAAGCAGGTGGATTTTTACGAAAGCATTCTGGTAAGTTAGACAAAATGGTTGCCAGTGTTTATGCCACATGAAGGCACTCAGAAACAATAAGAGAACCTGTAGGTTTTTTGACAGAGGCAGAAATGGAAGAAGCATTGGTATGGCCAAGCTTTGATTCCTCCCCATCTGTGTGGAATTTTACTTGTATGGAAGCACCCCATGGCCGGAGCCGTCAGATCCCAGGTGTTGCGGAGCGGATCAGCCATGCTGGCAGCTCACGATGTACTAACCTGTATATATTTTTCTGCCAGATTTCCTGAGCTTTCCTGATCCTACCTGCGAGGATGTGCAGCATGGTTCACGTGGTCGAGCCGCCAGGCGTGGGGCAGAGGCCGCCCTGCCTTCGGAGCAGCGGTGCCGGTGAGCTCCGTGCGTGCGGGACCCCTGAGGCTTCCAGCAGGCTTTGATCTCCAGCTGCGAGCTTTGTCGAGTCAATCTGTGCAGGTGCAGCAGAGACAGACGGTGCTTCTAGGTGCCCAGGAGTTCTGGATGGGTGTCTGAAATTGTCAGATTCTGGTGATGCAGTTTCTGCAGATGGGGTCTGGCAAGGCTTGAATGTACCATAACTTGGAATGTGGCTTTTTACTTACCTTCTGGTGCTGAATCTCTTAGGTTATGTCCTAAAACGCTCTATCACAGCTACACGCCTTTTTTGTTTTGTTAGCAGAAAACTTCAGCCTTCCTATACAACTGCTACCATTTGTCTGGACTTCAGAAAAAGGGGAAAATGTCAGGATGCAGAGTCCTGTGGGTTGCTAAGGGTGACTCAGAATGAATACCCGAATCTGACGATTGCCTTCTGATGTATTATGAACTCCTCCTATTAAAATTTAAAATAACTTATTTTTTCCCCTAAACCTTTTAGAACAAACTGTAAAGAAACAAACAAACAAAAAATCAGGCTGTGGCTCAAATAACTAAAGTCGAGAGATCTAAGGCATAAGGCTCGTATGTGATTCTTATTCCTTTCGGCTTCTGCCCATATGCTTAGGTGAAGCCCAGCCTTAGTTGTGAAATTCTAGGTTTGTGGCCCTTTGCATTCTGATTACCATGCTGTTTAAGCACAGTGGGCTTTATTCAAAGTGCTTCATTTAATCTGAGAGAGGCTCAGAGCAGCAGGTTGGAAAGTGTAACTGCCTGCTCTCCCTTCCTGAAACAGTCAAAGGGGATCAGGTGATGGGGAGTGTGTCGGTGCTGCCCTTTCATTTGCATGTGAGCAACAAAACCCACTATTTCTTTGCAATATGTAGTGAGGAAATAAACTGAAGTTGAGGCCTTAAAGGTAGTAGGGGGTTGATAGAATTGTTAGTAAGGTGCTGTGCACTTCCCTAACTCGAGCTTGTTATATCACTGCAGCAATCTTGTCTGATAGACCAAGGCCTGATTAGAAAACATGTGGTGAATCTTAGCATTACTGAGGTGTTTCCTAAGCTCCCCTCTAAGTTCCTTGGGGAGCAAGGGAAGCTTCCTTTGAAATTGAAGCCAGGTTTCCAAGTCACTTTAGCATCTTTTCTGTATCTGTAGGGAAGGAGAAGGGTCTTTGTCTTACTCCCCGTGGCTGCAGGAATTTCAGTTTTTCAGCACCTTCAATTGCTCTGCTTTTCTGCTCAGGATGTTGTTAGAATGTGTTTTAGTTGGAGAAGGTCAGGATGGTCAGAAATCAGACACAGTCTGACAGATGGCAGGAGTTGGCTTCCAGAAGCATCCGAAGGACACTTGGAAAAAAATCCTCTCTGATCGCAGTTGCAAGAAGGAGAGCCCGAGCAATTCGCATGGGCTGCTTGGATGCTGAACACAATCCTAAGCAAGAGGGAGATTTATGCCTGTGGAGCTCCACTGAGGTGGAGGCAGTTACTCAGTATTTACAGTGATGTGAATATGTCCACAAATTGTCTCCAACCTCTTGCCTTTCAGATGGAAGGAAGCTCTCTTCTGTATTGCACGTGAGAGTTCGTGTGTGTTTGTAGGAAAATGGCAGTGTCTTTGCCAGAGTGCATGTTAGTCACCAGTGAGCCACAGGGAACCCTGTTAACTTGCTTCTCCCAGCTTTGCACAGCTGTAAAGCTTATCTTTAAGCTACACCTGGTTTCCCTTCCATCATCTGAATCCTGCCTTTTCCCCTGTGTTTTTCTTTCATGCTTGAACATGCTATCCATCATACCAAACCCTGTCGTCCTCTCCTTGCCTTTTATTAGGTGCTCTACTCTTCAACCTACTGCTGCAGCAAGCTGTGTAGGAAATACACATGTGCTCCTGGCATTGATTTTTGACTGATCTTGGACCTCTGTTTACAAAGAGATGCTAATTGTTACTGTCCATGGTTAGAAAAGGTCAGGTAAATCTTTTAAAGAAGTGTGTGTTGAGCTGCTCAAAAATAAAAAGTCTGAATATCTGTTTTTTCTCTCTTTGTGCTAATTGTAGCTTTGATCACCTGGGTTTTGAAAGATGCCTCACCACTTGAATTCATGAAGGAGAATAATGTGCATTCTTCCTTCACAGCTTGTGTGTTCATTAGACATTTTCACCTCCGGCTAATGAGGAACATGATTCTTTTTGAAGACTATAGTGTGGGGTTATGTAACTATATGTGATAGTTATCAAGGTCTGTAATCAGTTAGGCGACAGCATATGGAACATTTTTTCTCATTTCAGCTGCTGTCCATTGAAATTTTGCCAAAAGGCTAATTTCTCTTACATTTTTTTTTCTTCTTGGCAATGTCCTTTTTATTTATTTGGGGAGAGGCAGCGCTTTGGGTCCCCAGATGGAGCTTCTGGTTACTATGCACTGTTTAAAAGAAACAGAATAAAAAGGCCACAGCTTTCCACTGGATTTACTCCTCCCGTTTTCCTCCTTTCATTACCAGTGTGTTTGTAGCAGTCAGATGTCCATCTTGCTGCTGGTGGACCTCCAGTAGCACACTGGAGAGCACTAGAAAGCACATAATGAACAGAAAGCCTTAATTTACATGGACCACATGCTGGTAGCGGAAAAATGGTGCTGTTCCTCCTCTCCTATGGTCATAGTAACCCAGATGTTTGTTTCCATGCATGAAGACTCTCGTGAAGGCTGTAGGTGCAACTTCTCTAGCAAGTTTTGCCATCTTTCAGCAGGTAGAACTAATATTTGACCTGTGACGCAACCCCTATGACAGCACTTAGAAGGCAACTTGAAGAAAAGTGTTGCAAGGGCTTCTCAGCAAGCCTTCCTCCAAGGGGCAGGAGGAGGTGGGGCCAGAACTTTTAATGGCAGAATGAATGGGAAGGTGTAGGGCATTGCTGTGCAGGTGGTCCAGCATCCTCACTGCCTCTGAGCTCTGTTTCCTGTAGTCTGCAGGAGTATATTGTGTGTACCAATTTTTGGAGAGAGGCATACGAGCGGGTTTTTGTTGTGTCTTGTGATCTTTAAAACCTTAATTCCCCGTCAGCAAGCTTCAAGATGACAAGAATTCTGACGGCTTGCAAAGTGGTGAAGGCTTTGAAAGGCAGATTGGAGTTTTGCAATGTGTCTGCTGATCACTGGAGTTTCTCAAGGACTGGCACCAGGTTGTTGAGCATCAAGGTAACAGTGACTAAGCTGCTGTGTCTCTAGATGTTTGGTGCGCTGGGAGGTAGCCCGCTGCAGATAGTGTTTGCTTAGACCCATAGAAACGGACCAAAAGGGATTTGTCTGAACCCTAACCAAGTGATTTTCCTGACTACAGGGCTTTATTGGGTAAGCAAATAGTTTTGGGGTAGTCCGGAATGGAATTTCTGGGATAAATTGCACAAAAAGGTGGAAGTTCATGGTTGCTGTTAATTTTTATCTGATGTTTCTTCACAAACACCCTACATTTCTATAGGGCTGGTAACTAACAGAGGCAGCTCCTTTGGTCCCTCTCAGCCTGATTCTGCCAGGTATTTACATTCATGTGTAACTTCAAGCATGTGAGTAATCCTATTGGGTCCTTGTAGGATCCATTTTCAATGTATCAGAAGCGAGGTTGGCTCTGAGACTAATCAGAGAGGTAGAACCCTCTATGAATGCTTTAGGGCATCAACCATTCATACACCAGCATTAGTTCAAATACTCAGCTTTCTTCTGCTTTTCATTACAAGAGCTGCATTTCCCCAGCTTTACCAGTGAAACTTGGGCAGTTACAGCAGAGCATAGTGGTGAAGTGAGACCTTCTGTGTGAAATGTGTAGCACTGGGGATATTTTGACATCAGACAAAACAGGGCAGTGTGACTCTTGCACATATATTCTGCTGGATCAGCAGTGTAATAGAATTAGTGCCCTCAGGAATGATCTTTCAGGGATGAAGGGAAGATCTCTGGGAGCCTTGGGCCGTGGTACCCAGTGATGTAGCTTTACACAGTACGGTGGGGTAGCAAACTGATTAATACCGTTCCTGTCCACTGTAGATTCAGGTTTCCCTTACCCATTCCATGGCTACTGATTTCCAAGAGAAAGCAGATCTCAGCTCCTAACAACAGACTTGTTAAATCTGAAAACTCACTTGCAAATAAAAAATGAAGGTGGGAGGAGGATTCCCTATTTTTCCTATCCCTTGTTCAGTTTTGTCTCCCCTGCACTTGGAGCCAGACCCTGTATTTTTATGGCTGTGCTTGCTAATGGACCAGGCTTCCCCTCCCTGACAGTATACAGCAGGCAAGGACTCCTACCTGTCTCACTGTGCCTTAAAACCCAGCAGTAATCTTCCTCTTAGCAGCTTGATCTTGGTCGTGCAATCAGGTCTGCCTTAGGAGGATGTTATTCCTGCCTGTGATGGCAGCAGGAGTCCTGCTCAGAATTAGAAACCTGCCATGATTGCCAGTCTCCTCAGGGGCACCATCTGAAGAGCAAGCAGGTCGTGGTTGTGTATGAAAGAAATGACACAAGCTGTGATGGGGGAGTTAAGTTCCTCCCCAAACTGCAGACACTTTGTTGCTCAGGTTGGTGAGGCTGTCGAGGTCTGGTGTTGGTCACATTAAAGCTGTATCAGGACCCTCAGATGGGGCAGTGCTATTTCTCACCTCAGTTTTCCAGGACAGGCACCAGCTTCTCCTGTTCCATTCTGAGATCTCAGCACTGGACAGGAAAGTGCCTCTGAGTGTGACAGAATAAAGTGTGATACAGTTCTGGCTCTCTCTTCTTGAGACTTTGTGCTTCAAACTGAAGTGGGATGAGAGGGAAAGGAGAAAATTTACCACCCATCTTGCTAGATCCATGGAAGCTGTGAGTGAAGGTGCTGCCCTCAGAAGTCACTGTTTCTAGGGTGTAAGAACTCAGGGTTCATAACTGGTAGCTGGGTTTA